GTATCTGTGTTAGTTGGTTCCCCTTTTCTTTGTTGAAGAGGGTCTGTGCAATCTTTCTGCCTATTCTACCATCTTACTGGAACTCCAGAAGTTACAAATTTTTAAGACATTTTAATTTAACTGCTTAAGAATAAACTAGGCTTTCTTAAATCTTTCTGTCTTATATGTCTTCGCAATCATTCCCCCATACCAAAATTACAATGACTTCCATGAAAATAAAAATTACTATAGTATGTTTTTTAAGGCCAGCACCCAAGGTAGGAGGGCATGGGGCTTGGGCCTGCTTTTCCTTGGGGCCGCCTGTATTGTAAAGCCAGGGACCTGAGGTAAGTGGGTGTGGGGCTCAGGACTGCTTTCTCTTGTGAGCAGCTCTATTTTAAGGCCATTGCCCGAGGTAGGTGGGCGCACAGCAGTTAGGAACAACTAAGGGAGACAAACTTGTCTGTGAGTTTGTCATCCTGTGGTGGCTTATGTGTTGCTTTGAGACTGGAGCCTATGCCACTAGTGTTACAAAATGCCAGCAGGGTAATCCATGGTGGACAGATTTCAGCGGAGCTTCCTGGCTAACAGACTCAGAAGAAAGAAGAAGCCATCCACTTCTCAAAGAAGTAGCCAGTGAAAACCTCATGAATAGCAGTGAAACATTGGCTGAAATTGTGGTGGTTAAGTTTGTGTGTCAACTTGGCTAGGCCTGAACAGATGGATGTAGTATTCCCCATTGAGACTGGTAACAACTCCATGGTGGAAGCTATTGTGAGCAGCTGAGTAGCTAGCTGCCTTTGGGTACGTGGTCTGCTTCCCATATATAAGACACAGCTTTGGGAATGGTCTCTAGCTTATAGCACGCTTGAACCCTGCATGTAGCCATCATCATTCAGCAGCCTGCCATGCTCTGCCAACCTTGGGACTTTCAGTGGACTTGAATCAATGGCCTGCCATGTGGTTTGGTAACACTGGGACTGTGCCATTTTACTTGTTGACCTTGGGTTTGTTAGCCTCAGCATCCAGTAGCTGCCTGAGTGAAGAGATGCCTCTAGCTTAAGTGGGCCGGGAGCCAGAGCAGAGCTGAAGCCCAATGTTGAGGGGCTTGCACACAGGCCCTAGAGCTTAGCACTTTGAACTCGGACTTCTAGCCTCCTGAATTGTAAGAGAATAAAGTCCTGTTTGATAAGGCCATCCCATTTGTGATATATTCTTGTCAGAGTGGCACCAGGTAACCAAAACAGATATATTACTGGAAAAACTTATGAATACCCCTGAAACATTGTCCGATATAGTGCCAGAAGATGAGCCCATCAGGTCAGAAAACACTCAAAATTTGACTGGGGAAGAGCTGACTCCTCAGAGTAGAGGCACCCTTAACAATATGGATAGAGCAAAGCTTTTGAAACCTCCACTGGCTGATGAGGCATGACTCAAAATGAATAGAAACAGATGCAAACATCCATTAATAATCGGAACATGGAATGTACAAAGTATGAATGTAGGAAACTGGAAGTTGTTGAAAATGAACTAGAACACATAAAGATTGATATCCTAGGAATTAGTGAGTGAAATGGACCAGTTTTGGTCATTTTGAATCAGACAACCATATGATCTGCTATGCCAGGAATGACAAACTGAAAAGGAATAGTGTGGCATTCATCATCACAAAGAGTGTTTCAAGATCTTTCCTGAAGTACAACGCTGTCAAGGATAGGATAACATCCATACGCCTACAAGAAAGACCAGTTAATACTACTACTATTCGAATCTATGCACCAACCATCAAAGCCAAAGATGATAAAACTGAAGATTTCTACCAACTTCTACAGTCTGAGATTGACTGAACATGCAATCAAGATGGGCTGATTATCATTGTTGACTGGAATGCAAAAGTTGAAAACAAAGAAGAGTTACTGGTAGTTAAAAAATATGGCCTTGGTGACAGAAATAACGCTGAAGATCACATGATAGAATTTTACAAGATCAATGACTCATTAATTGCAAATACCTCTTTTTCAACAACATAAGTGACAGCTATACATGTAGACTTAAATCAGATGGTGTACACAGGAATCAGACTGACTACATCTGTGGAAAGAGGCAACGGAAGAGTTCAATATCTTCGGCCAAACAAGGCCAGGAGCTGACTGTGGAACGGACCATCAACTACTCATATGCAAGTTCAACTGGAAGCTGAAGACAATTAAAACAAGTCCATAAGAGCCAAAATATGACCTTGATAATATCCCTCCTGAATTTAGAGACCATCTAAAGAACAGATTTGGTTGAACCCCAATGACCAAAAACCAGAGGAATTGTGGGATAATAGCAAGTATATCATCCATGAAGAAAGCAAGAAGTTATTAAAAATATGAGAAAGGAAGAAAAGACAAAAAAGGATGTTAGAAGAGACTCTGAAACTTGCTCTTGAGCAGAGAGTAGCTAAAGCAAATGGAAGAAGTGACAAAAGAGCTGAACGGAAGATTTCAAAGAGCAGCTTGAGCAGACAAAGCCCATTACTGTAATAAAATGTGCAAAGACTTGGAGTTAGAAAACCAAACAGAAGCACATGCTCAGCATTTCTCAAGCTGGAAGAACTGAGGAAAACATTTTAGCCTTGAGTTGTGATACTGAAAGATTCTATTGGCAAAATATTGAATGATGCAGAAAACATCAAAAGAAGATGGAAGGAATACACAGAGACACTGTACCAAAAAGAACTGGTCGATGTTCACCCATTCCAGGAGGTGGCATATGATCTAGAACTGATGGTACTGAAGGAAGAATTTGAAGCTGCACTGAAGGAACTGGAAACAACAGGACTCCAGGAATTGATGGAATACCCACTGAGATGTTGAAAGGAATATCCATTTAGATGTTTCAACAAATGGTTGCCCTGCTGGAGGCACTCATTCAGCTATGCCAAGAGATTTGGAAGACAGCTACCTGGCCCACTGACTGGAAGAGATTCTTATTTGTACCCATTCCCAAGAAAGGTGATCCCACAGAATACAGAAATTATCGAACAATATCATTACTATCGCATGCAAGTAAAATCTTAATGAAGATAATTCAAAAATGGTTGTAGCAGTATATTCACAGAGAGCTTCCAGAAATGCAAGCTGGATTCAGAAGAAGACATGGAATGAGGGATATCATTGCTGATGTAAGATAGATCTTAGCTGAAAGCAAAGAATACCAGAAAGGTGTTTATTTATGTTTTATTGACTACACAAAAGCATTCGATTGTGTGGATCATAACAAATTATGGATAACATTAAGAATAGGAATTCCTGAACACTTGATTGTACTCATTAGGAACCTGTACATAGATCCTGTACATAGGAGTCTATTGTTTGAACAGAACAAGGGGATACTGTATGGTTTAAAATCAAGAAGGGAGTGTGTCAGGGTTGCATCCTTTCACCATACTTATTCAATTTGTACACTAAGCAAATAATCCAAGAAGCCAGACTATATGAAGAAGAATGCAGCATCAGGATTGGAGGAATACTCGTTAACAACTAGCCGGAAACAAGCACATGACACAACTTTGCATGCTGAAAGTGAGGATGACTTGAAGCATTTACTGATGAAGAATAAAGACTACAGTCTGCAGTATGGATTACATCTCAATATAAAGAAAACAAAATCCTCACAACTGGTCCAACAAACAGTTCACAGTGGATTGAGAAAAGATTGAAGTTGTCAGGGACTTCATATTACTTGGTCCTACAATCAACACCAATGAAAGCAGCAGTCACAACATCAGACGGCGTACTGCATTGGGAAATCTGCTGCAAAAGACCTCTTTCAAGTGCTGAAGAGTAAAGAGGTCTCCTTGAAGACTAAGGAGCGCCTAACCCAAGTCATGGTATTTTCAATCGCCTCTTATGCACATGAGATCTGGGCAATGAATAAGAAAGACTGAAAAGGAGTTGATGCTTTTGAGTTATCACATTGGAGATGAATGCTAAGAGTCCATGGACTGCTAAAAAATTAACAAATCTGTCCTGGAGGAAGTGCAGCTGGAATGCTCCTTGGAAGTGAGAATGGCCAGATTTCGTCTCCACCTACTTTGGTCAGGTTGTCAGAAGGAACTATTCCCTGGAGAAGGCTATTATGCTTGGAAAGTAGAAGGACAATGAAGAAGGGGAAGGCCCTGAACAAGATAGACTGACACAGTGGCTACTACAATGGACTCATGTATAGCAAGGATCATGAGGCTGGCACAGGACTGGGCAGTGTTTTGTTCTGCTGAGTATAGGATCACTATGAGTCAGAGATGACTCAACAGCACCTGACAGCAGCACAGTATTGTAAGGTCCAAAATCAACCTTTATTATCTGACTGTTATAAGTATTCTATACTTATAACAGGTAGAATTCATTGTTTCTACATTTAAACAATGTGAAGTTTGGTATCTATCAAATCTTCTGCTGGAATGCTGGGAATCAGCAGGTTGTAGAAGGGAAAATATGAAAAAATGTCTAAATTTGTATTCCATCTCAGAGCTTCTTTCTAATATACAATAAGATGTACTTTCACACCAGAAAAGGGAGAAGGAGAGAGTGATGTCAACAGAATAGGATGGATAACCACTTTCATGTACTGAAACTCAATCAGATATAGAAAAAGTCTCTCCCTTCAATACTAAAATGTCTATGATTTCCTTATAAAAGTGTTATGATTTCCTTATAATAGTTGTTGAAAATGTTAACTATTAATGTCCCCTTGGTAATGCAATAAAGAAGCTTAAAATAAAAAAGGTTCTACTTATTCAAAGTTGTTAAGAAGTAGTGATACAAATGAAAACAAAACAAAACAAAAAAATCACTTCTGAGGTCTTTGACAAACAATCATAATTCATTCAACAAGTATCTAAATGCCAACGATATATACTAATAACTGTTTAGGAACTTAGTACCCAATGACGAACAAAACAAAATACCAGGAAAATACTATTTTTAAAGATATAACACATTTCTTTTGTTTTTTAAATAGAGTATATTTACCTCAAAGCCAAGTCTATCTTTTTCTTTCCAAAAACAAAAATGTGTTACTTTTTTATCCCAGAATTCATCTGGCTTCACTACACAAACAAGGGACACCTCAGCTGGAACAACATTCTATAAAATAGAGAAAAAAATTCCAAATTACATATGTAAAATGAATTATATACTAAAGAGCAAATTACTAGATATTCATGATTAGGCTAATTAAGAGACCTTTGGAAAAGAATTAAAATAATGAAATAGAATACTCAAATTTCAAAACATATATAGTAGTTAAAAAATACATTATAAATACAAGCTGATTCAGAAGAGATTTCAAATAAGATTTCAGAAAATATTTCAAATAAACAATGAAAGCAGAGCATATATGTGAATTATTTTTTGAATAATAAATGAAATAGTTGAATAATTTAAATAACTGAATAATTTGGGTAACTGAATATTTTTTGAATAGTTGAATAACTGAATCTCCCTACTAAGAATATGTTCAGATATAACAGTACAATTTAAATTTTAGTTGAGAAATATTAAGTCTGGATTTTCTATGTTATGGAAAAAATGCTTTTTTCTGGCACAATCATCTTAGAACATTTCTTCAAGCCATATAAAATCAATTTCCTTACAAAATAAGCTTCTCATCAGTCATAATCAAAGAGACCATCATTATAAAAGAAGTTCCACATGATTATTAACTTGGAGAAGACAAAGAGTTAATATTTGATAAATACAATTTCACACTTGCTAGATAATACACAAAGAATGGAAATTAACAATATTGAGTTAGAAAATGTTCCACAAATATTTTATCAGCAAATTATGTAGAGTCAGTCTATCTTCAACACATATCTTAAATCTAACCATTTCTACTATCTGGATTGCTAACATCCCCAAGGCAGCCAGCCTTCTAAAATATCCTCTTAAATAGCCTCCCTCTTTGACATCCTCCTGATAAAATTAAAACCTGTTATCACGGCCTACAAGGCCCTCTATGCTCAGGCCCCTATCAATCTCTCAGAGCTCATCGCATGCCATTCCCTTCCTAGTTTACTCTTCCCGTGCCTCTGTCTGGAATATTCTTTGCCCACTATCTAAAAGGATTGCTAAAATAACCTATCTTCGGCGAGGCCTTCCCTGGCCACTCTATCCAAAGTAGAACCATCTGACAGTCTTCTTTTACTGCTCTCCGTCGGCGGTTTGAACCCAACAGCCACTCCACTGCAGAAAGATGAGGCAGTCTGCTTCTGTAAAGATTTACAGCCTTGGAAGCTCTGAGAGGCGGTTTTACTCTGTCCTATAAGGCTGCTATGAGTCGGAATCGACTCGATGGCAGTGGGGTTTTTCTTTCTTTTCATGGCATTTGCAGCCTTGGAAGCCCTGAGGGGCAGTTGTACCCTGCCCTATAAGGTTGCTATGAGTCGGAATTGACTCCATGGCAGTGGGTTTTTTATTTCTTTTCATGGCATTTATCACTATATGCTGTCACATTATATATTAATTTGTTAAATTGCTTATTGTCTGATTCCTCAAGTATAATATAAATTTCCCCATGCCAACCACTATACTTTATCATGGCACTCTTACATCTCCCATGCCTATGCTAAAGCCTGGAATACAGAAGATGGTCTATAAATATTTGTTAAATAAAGGCATCCTCAGGAGCTCTGGTAGCGTAGTGCCTAAGGCACTTGACTGCTAACCAGAAGGCTGGCGGTTCAAACCCACCAGCCACTCCTCAGAAGGAAGGTTGGGCAATCTACTTCCGTAGTGATACCACCTCGGAAACCCAAGTAAGGGTCGATATGAGTTGGATCCTACTGGATGGCACATAACAACAACAACAAAGGCGTCCTCACTAACAAATGGATCTCATTCTCCCAGTTTTACAAAAGAGTAATTGAGCTTCAGAGATCTAAAATAACTTGTCCAAGATCAGGGAGCTAAAAAGTGATGAAGCTGAAATGAAAATCAGGTCTATCTTACTTTAAAGTTCTACCACTTCACATATTCTAAACCAAGCCTCAGCACTCTTTCTCTGAAAGGTCCAGTTAGTAAATATTTTAGGGTTTGTGGGCCATACAGTCTCTGTGACAACTACTTAACTCTACCATTGTAGTGTGGAAGCAGCCATAGGACAACAAGTAAATGAAATGGACATACTTAAGGTCCAATAAAATTTTATTCATAAACTCAAAGGACCAACCACTGCTCTAGATCATAATTTGTACCACTGAATTATTCCAAGCAGTAATCATTACTATCAGTATTACTAATTAAGATAAAATATAAAACCTTTCAATGTAAATATGTCATTAGGTATATCAGAAATCTAGTGACTTTTCAATGGTTGGGTTGTGAAGAGATAAACAATAAGTTCATGGCTGCAAAATTTAGGGTAGATCCAAAATTTGTTTCCACATTGAATTGTGGAAGATTTTTGTAAAAATTTAATTGCTATTACATTTTAAATATACTATTTCAGAATCACAGACAATGAAATCTGTGAGAAACAAAGGAAACTAAGCCTTTCATTTTAGAGAACACTAATAATTGGCAGCATAGTGCCTAAGGCATTTGACTTGCTAACCAGAAGGCTGGCTGTTCAAACCCACCAGCCGCTCCTTGGAAGGAAGACTGGGCAATCTACTTCTGTAGAGATACTGCCTCGGAAATCCGAGGGGTCGCTATGAGTCGAATCAATGGCAGTGAGTTTGGTTTGGTTTTTGTTTTTTTAGTAATTGGCAGAGCCAACCTACGCTCTGGGCTCCAAAACATGTACTACCAATATCTTTTGAGATAAAAACAATGAATGACTTTATAGGTAGAAACACTGTTTGATGAGGAGTAAACAGCAGGTCAATGTAACTTGTTGAAAATGTTAACTATTAATAAATCCAAAAGTTGTTAAAATACCTATTAGAAAAGAAATCGCAAGAGGGGATTAAACCATCCATTGATTGTTCTTCAAAACTGCCACTGATCAAAGTCCAGTTCAAACAGCAAGTCCCAAACAGCTCATCTGTGGTACAGTTGAACGACAGGATGGAAGGAAGAGCACAAGGTCAGGATTAATGGATTTCTCACCTAATAGTGATTTTAACAACCTTTACAGAAAAGAATTAATCTTCAGAGTGTGGAACATAAAAGTACTGAAAATATATTTGACATAAAAAGTTAGTACAAAACAGGAACCTGTGTTTCCCTAAAAACTGGTCCTCTGGAAGCTATGTCATTTGTAATGCAAATATTTATGCCACAAATTTAAGAAGAATGAGGCAATGTGTAGATAATTTCTCAACCATCTCAAAGGCACATCCTACTGGTAAATATACAAGAGGTAAAGGCAGAAGCCAAGGCCTAGGGTACAGGCTGGGCTAAGTTCCAATCCTGAAATTCCCTTCATCTACTAGACTAGACAGAACCTAGCTAAGATTTAGTCCTCGAGCCAGTGATGAACTTTGGGAATAGTAGGACCTGCTTCACAAGGTTGTGAGGAAATAAACTAAGCGAGATAACATATACAGAAATCTTAAGCTCAGTACCTAAACCATATCAAACAGTAAAACTAAAAACTAAAATTACCACCTTACTCTTACCCCTCCAATCCCTTTTTCTAAATATACTAAATAAAAGATAAAGCATTAAGAACTTTTCTCCTTAGGTATTGTGTTAAATTTTTGATTATATCCCTTTCCAAAGAACCCTAAAGCAGCAACAATTTCTTCTCAAATTCATTTAAAATTCTTGACCTTTCTTTTAATATCACCGACAATTACCTTGGTGAATGCTGCTGTTACTAGCAACTTGTATTTTCCTGGCTTCCCATCAACTCACTTTACTTTATTGCCTTCACTTTTGTACCAACAGTAAATCAAGTGTCCCTACCAGGAATGCTCTTCTTATTTTCTTTCATTTAAATTATATAATCAGTCTCGTTTAATCACTAGCAATTTACTTTCTCTTGTACATGAGAACAATCTACCTCCTTTTCAATCACTCAGATGTTTTATTTTTCCATGTCAAATGATGTCCTCAATACCCTTATATTAAATCAACAAAAGTTTAGTGGGTACCTACTACATAAAACGCATCATGGAAATACTCTGTAAGGAACACAAGAAATAAAAAAAATGAAGACTAGGATCAGATCTCAAGGACTATGTAATGATAAGTATTTATTAAATAATCTGTGAGCTGCTGAAGTTCCTGAGGACACCGTCATTAAATAAATTCCTTCTGGATTACAGTCATCATGAATCCTGGTGCTTTTTTGAGCAAAAAGGGCAACAGAAGGGAGAGGCATCTTGAGAAGTTTTGTCAGCCTACACTTAACCAGTACTACTCTCTACCTGTAGTGTCAGGATGAGGTGGAGAGGGGAAGATAGCACAGGCACCATAGCATACAAAGCTCCTCAGGTGAGTGTGATAATGTCTACCATACCCTTTTAGAATCACTGGCCTATTTGCTTAAATGATTTAAATATGATGTACTATTTTAAGATCATTTAAAAACCTTTAGGAGATAATCAAAATTCATTTTACGACTTAAAGTCTGAACTTGAAATAACTGAATCTAAACATAGTCTGAAGGTGGTAAGTGTACTTTCAGAATTCTGTCATTGCTGAGTTTGGGCACAGTACCACAAATGAAATGGGTTTGCCATTACCACCATGATCTGCTGCTGTAAAATAAAACCATTTCCTGATAGTCAAAAGTAAAATTACCTGTAGCATTAAGACTACTGTTTTCACCACATTCCATTGTGATTTTCTGCCATCCACTATCACAGTAAATCCTCTAGCCTTACACTTTTCACTGAAATAAAACAAAATTACAAAGAATTAAAACAAACTTTAGATTTTATTCTATAAAATTCTAAGTAGCGAAGTTCTGAAGCTTAATCACATATGAGTAGAACTTGATTTGGTTTACACTGTCAATAAATAAAATTTTTCATCGTATCCTTTCAGTTTTCTCAAGCAATTTATTTTTCTTATTTGAGGAAACGTTTACCAGTCACAAGCTATTGTAGCATAACAATTACTCTAACAGCATGAAAAGTCAGTATCTGTAGAGAAAAAAAATCATAGCAACATTCAAATAGTCCCATCAGCCTCTCAATTTCTTCAACTATAAAATGGAGCTCCACTGTTACATCCTTCCTTGTCTCTCCTTCCAGAAGTATAAAATTTGTGAATGGATAGTTTAAAACAGGAAGGACATAAAAGTAAGCTCTTATTAAACCACTGGAAATGGGTTTCTTGGTGCTCTTTTGGGGGAATGTAATGAGATGAGGTAGTAATTGTTCTACATAATAATTCAAAGCTTGAATACACAATGTCTGATCCACCTCTGCTCTCCCTTTAGCATTTTCAGTCCCTTGGCCAATAAAATATTATCTGAGTGTTGCAAAATGTATTATTGCTATACTGAATTACTCAGGTATTTGCTAAGCATTCCCAGACATCTACCCTAATAAAATGTAACAACTTCTATGTATTAAAAACTCCATTCTAAAGACCAAATCTACATAGCTATTCTATTATTACTACTTGTAAAAATCAATACAAGGATTTTAAATGCCCTCCATCCAATACTGTGGAAGGAATCACAACTTTGCTTAGCAGAGCAAGGATTTGGTAATGACACCTCTCCCCTCCACTAGCCTTCTGGTTAGCAGTCAAATGCCTTAGGCACTATGCCACCAGAGCTCCTTGTCTACATATAAACCAAAAAGAAAACCAAACTCACTGCCATCAAGTCAGATCCGACTCATAGCTACCCTCCCGGGGTTTCCAAGGCAGTATCACTACAGAAGTAGATTGCCAAACCTTCCTTCTGAGGAATGGCTGGTGGGTTTGAACCACCAGCCTTCTGGTTAGCAGTTAAATGCCTTCGGCACTATAGGAAAAGTAAAATATGTTAAAATATTTAAATCCAGTAACTTTAGAGGATTTAACTAGTCCCTTCCCTACTCCCTCCAAACATTCATTCTATCCTCAAAAGTGGTTTTTGGAGAAGCAATGTCATGCTCCACTGAGAGACAGTGAAGACACAATATGAGGATGGCATTCTTAAAGATTTGAAGGGAGAAGTAGGCTCCTTGGTAGGCAGGGACAGAAGGCAAGGTTACAAAATAAATAGAAAAGTGATGACAAGGTGAGACAAACTGAAACATGTTCACATAAAACCTGCACATAAACATTCACAGTAGTATTATTCTTAATAGATAAAAAGTATAAACACAAGTGTCCATCAACTGATGAATGAATAAACAAAACAGAATATATCCATACAATGGAATATTATTCAGCCATAAAAAAGAATGAAGCACCAACATGTACTACAAATGAATAAACCCAAAAACATGATGCTAAATGAAAGAAGACAGATGCAGAAAGTCACATAATGTATGATTTCATTTATATGCAATGTCTAGAACAGGAAATATGTAGAGACAGAAAGCGGTTACTAGAGGCTGGGAGAAGGGAATATGGGGAGAGAGTGCTAATGGGTACAGGCATTTCTTTTTGGACCTATGGAAAAATTTTGGAATTAGATAGTGGTGATGGTTGTACAACCGTGTGTGAATATACTAAAAACCACAGAACTGTATGCTTTAAAAGGGGTGTTTTTTAATGGTATATGAATTTTATCTCAATTTTTTAAATTTTAAAGTACTCTACTTTCAGATTTTGCATTGTAACACAAAAGATCCACTAAGTATTGTTTAGGGAGGAAAAAGTGAGACAATAGTTGCTTCAGAGTTAGCAACAGTATTTAAAGACTTGCTAGGGGAAGCAAATCTGACACCTAATTGCTAGCTATGGGGTGAGGTAAGCCAGGAATTTCTGGAGTCCTACCAACAAGACACCCAAGATGACAGCTGCAAATGAGTGAAGAAGCAAGCCAGGAGAGAGCAGTCACAGCAAGGTGGCTGGCTGCTGAGTGCCCCTCAGAGAAGTGGCAGCAAACTCAGAGGTCTAAGAGCCCTCTGGTGGAAATTTTCAGGAGGGAGAGGTGAGATCCAAACCTGTCTAGTGGAGGGACTTCACCTAGGTTGGGACTAGAACCAAGAGAAGGGTGACATCCCCAAAAAGCAATTTGGTACTTTCTTGTCACTGGTATCTGCATCGCTAAGATAAAGGTTAAATAATTATTTTGTTAAACAAGTAAGTTTTACGCAAACAACACAGTCATATTTCAAAGAACACTCAATTTATACATTAAGACTAAAAAAGTAATGAAGCTTGCAAATACCATCTGTACTGAGCTTAAGGGCATGAAATACTCTAAATTTATCTTTCAGAGTACTTAAAAACACTCTTTATCAAAATATTCTCACATTTTACTAAGATGGATAGTAGAAACGCATACAATCTAAAGATACTATTTCAAAATTACAAGACTAAGTGATCTTTCAATCACTTGAAAGAAGTATTTTTGTTATTTCATTCCTACATGTAGAGAGATGGTTTAAACTGCTTTTAACAACATATTTAACTTAGAAACTTGTTATACCCTTCATAATGCTGGAAAAGCTGAAAGGACCATGCAAATAAATTACTACAGTTAACATTTTAATAAGGAGTTCACTCACATTTTACCTAAAAAAGAACTGTCAATAGATTTCCTAATTTTCTCTCCCCTAATTTTCTTCAGGGAGCTCTGGTAGCATAGTGGCTAAAGCACTTGACTGCTAACCAGAAGGCTGGCAGTTCAAACCCACCAGCCACTCCTCGGAAGGAAGGTTGGGCAATCCTACTTCCGTAGTGATACTGCCTCGGAAACCCAAGGAGGGGTCGCTATGAGTCGGGCCGACTCAACGGCACATAACAACAACAACAATTTTCTTCAAGTAAAACTAATTGTCCCTTCTCTCCTACTCTTAGAGATCTGCTTACAGCACTTATTTCACTTATGATTTTATTATAATTACTTGTTTTTTATTCATCTTCACTAGATAACATGCCTCAAGAAATCCAGATTATCTTTCTAATTATTATCTTGGCAGTTTCTAGCACAATGCTTCAATACAAAGGGCCTTTAAAATTGTTTATATGACATCCAATCACATCACTACTTAGTCAGAATGCAACACTGGCTTCCCTTCTCATTCAGAATTGAAATCCTTATCTTGAAACCCTGGTAGAAGATACCTGGCTGCTAACAGAAAATGTCAGTGGTTTGAACCCATTGGCTTCTCTGTAGGAGAAAGATGCGGCAGTCTGCTTCCATAAAGATTATAGCCTTGGAAACCAGTTCTACTCTGTCCTATAAGGTCACTATGGTCAGAATTGACTGGATGGCAATGCGTTTTTGGTGTCATGGCCTACACGGTCTTCTATGATCTGGTGCCAGCCTCTCTCTCTGATTGGTCTCCTAGCACTCTGTCCCTCTCAATCTGCTCCCGCCATTACTAGCTTCCTTGCTCTTCACACAACATGCTGACATCTGCTCCAGCCTCAGGGCCTTTGCACTTACACAGGTTCCTATGACTTGAATCATCTCTGGTTACCTTATCATTTATCATACTTGATCCCTCTTTGTAAACTATCACCACACATTCTTTTCCCACCCCATCATTTTCCCAACTCTTTTCACGCCTTTTTTTCTTTTCAATGGCATTCATGAACATACATTGTATTGTGTATTTACTTGTAATATTTGATCAGCTGACCTACAGGACATAAAGTCCACAAGTGAAGAGATGGAGTCTGCTTTGTTCACCCATTTGCCCAGCAACTAGGACAGTGAAGAGCACATTGCAGGTTTTCATATATTTGTTGAGTAAACAACAAATTATGACCTTACTGTCCTTTTGACTTTCAGCAAGTCATTAAATCTCTCTGCATTCTGTTGTTTAGTCTGCAAAATAAATGAGTTTTTCTAAAATTAGTTAGAACTGACAAAGTTGGAATGAGAAAAATGGAAAAGCAATCTCTGTAAATGTTGAATTTCTAATCAAGAAAGGGTGAGTCTTGGCAGCATTTTTACAAAGAGGATTTAAATCTGGGTAAAGGGCTTAGCCTAGATGATTGCTAAGATACTTTCCAACCAGTCCATGATTCTGTAATTAGATGATCAATAAGTGCCCTCTGTGCTAGAACATGCTGTGATTTTAAGAACATGATGAGTATATGTTGACAGAAAACATTAATGTAAATTAAAATTTTCAAAAAGTTTTATAATGCTATAATCGTGAGACCTGTCATTTTCATAGGCCCAGGTTTTATGTTAATTAATACTCAAAGTTATCAACTAGTTATAGCACTGTGATCATAAAGGAGGTGGACACAGTGCAGTGTTTAGGAACATAGGTTTGGAGCTAGACTGCCTGAATTCAAATCCTTCCCTCTAACCTTGCTGGTCAAGATGCCTAACCCACTCATCCTCTACACCTCATCTGTAAGACAGAGGATGAGGATAATAGTACAAATCTCATAAGGTTGTTATGTAGATGAAACGGACCAAACTCACTGCCGTGGAATCAGATCCAACACATAGCAACTCCTTCTCGGTTTTCTGAGGTGATATCACTACAGAAGTAGATTGCCCATTCTTCCTTCTGAGGAGGGGCTGGTGGGTCTGAACCACCAGCCTTCTGGTTAGCAGTCAACTGCCTTAGGCACTATGCCACAACAGCTCCCAAAAGAGAATAAGGACTCAATATATGCCAGCTATTACTTCCTTAAACATGGGACTCTTTTTGCATATACTTTTAGTCATTATCCATAGGTAAATTCTAAGGTCCTTTTTGAATTTAAAAACCTAAAAGGAAGGCAAGCCTAGCCAGACAAACTTCTTATTCATCA